GGTTGTATACACTGCATAAGTGTCAATTTATATTAGCGTTTACAATTTGATGGCACAAATCCAAAGAACTTCACATCTCGGGCTTGTACAAATAGTCGTTTTGAAGCCAAAACTTGACCCTTGTTTTTCAAAATCATATGTACTATTTATCTTCAATTAAATTTTCGTTTTCCTCTTGGCTGATTGGACCGCGATGTTCGGCCTCTATTGACAGACATGTCGGCTCCTCCCTAGTATGGACGCCTCGACAATGTCTGAGGACTAACTTGAAGCGATTTAGTGGACTGTAACTAGAAGTGGACTCCACGATGTGCGTTTCGTTCTACTGGGGACTCGTCAACTGGTTGTACTTGCATTCCCTAGAGAGCCACAAACTCAATATCCGTAATTGCGTATACGCATACTGTGGACTTCAAACGGTATAAGTTGCTACTTTTTTCGATTAAATAACGTTTATCTATCTGAAAACTGGTAGATCAATCTATCTAACATAGTAAACAATCACAAAACACATTATTCACGTATCGAAATATAACAGTAAATATAATTAGTTAAAAATCCCTAAAATCTATCCACAGATTTTTGAGTTACACCACAGTAAGGCGAATTTCAATTGGTTGCCATGTTCACTGTAAAGTGAATTTACGAAGGGTATACCTGAAGAAATCCACTTCATATATCGGTTGCATTTTTGGGCTCAGATGAATCTGGATACTAAGCTTGAGATAAAAATGCGAACATGTAGTAAGTAGGTCTGTCAAGTCAAGCTATTTAAAACTCGCCCCTTCAAATTATACTGTCGTTCAACACACAGAACTGTGACTTAGAAAAGTGAAGTGCATTGGTTCACTTTCTTGATACCGTTCGTGAACAGATCCACACTCCTTTTGTCAGGTAACCTTTAAATCGTCCTCCTTTTAAAGAAAAATAAAATATGGGCACATATTGTAGGGAAATTTCTCTGGATATAATTGCTGAAATTTAGTTTCTGTTAACCATTCTGAGAAATATTTGATGGGCTTTTCTGTTGTGACTGAGGTGACTTAAAATTATACATACGTACATTTAGATCTGATGTAAGTTTGTCCACGTCACAAACTCCAAGTAGCATGCATTAGGAAAGGAGTATTTGTGATACACTACATACATGTGACTTCACTTCGGCAAATGATTTGGTGTATTAGTAACATACAAAAGTCAAACTATTCATTATGGTTTCGACTATCACTGAGTTTCGCCACATTCTGAGATCATGATGATGATGATGACAATCCGGATAAATTTTCACCTAAGTTTTTCGTCAGGTATTCCGCCAAGTGAACATGGTTAGTCGAACTAAACCGTCATATTAGCTGACAATAAAATTAGTTGTTTATGCTTTACAATTTTCAAATGATTACCCTCTAGTTTTAACGGTTTTATGCTACGTTTGCTGAAATAAATGAAATATTTCCAACAGTTGTAAAGAAATCCAAAGAGTTTCGAAATTCCTTTGGTGTAGCTTTTGGACGTGATTATCTTTCATGAAAAGTGACACAGCTAGTTTTTTGCACAGTATGAGAAGTGAAGTAAGTCAGTCTGCTTCCAATCCAGTGGATACTTGTAGCGCATCCTGTCTGAGAATCATAGTAATGGTTTAGATGGCTTCTTAAGTGATGTCTAAAACCATCTTGAAGAAGAATAATTATCGAAAAGTAACTGTGTGAAACTGCAGAGGCAAAATAAGTGAATGCAGTACTAACCATAAAGATGAAAATGATATTTAACGAAAGATTGACGATTTGTACTCTTGCATAAGTTAGCAAATAACTACCTGAACTAACCTGACAGCATATCAACGACCGTCGCCAAACATGCGTTTTTAAATTCGTATGATAAATTACTGCAAAAGGATCACGTAGAGAAAAGTGTTCTTGGCAGGTAAAATTAGATTATTAGGCATCCTGACCGAAGCAATAGATATAGTAAGTATTCAGCCTGTTAATTTCTTACACAAAATTGACGAATTTTAAAAACAAAATAAAGCTCATACTGAAGGTTTCAGCATAATTGGCCTTCGTGCTGTCATCTCAACTTCATGATAAATGTGTCTTTAGGTTTCTAGTTGTCTTTCAAATAGTAAGAAATTACATTTTGATACAAAGCAGGTAACCCAGATGAAATATAGACTAGATACCTGAAACCAAGTAGGTTCGTAAAACCTAATTATTTTGGTCCATTTGATATCAGAAAGTTCTCTCTTGTCATTAGACACTGAAAGGAGTCAGTCCTTGAGAATCTTCGTCTAACACACTCTAAGATAAGAACCTGCTTTTCTCAGTGTCGAAGTCAGTGGCTTTATCGCTAGGCTATTCAGGCTAATAATAACCCCTGACAAAAGTGCGTCATGGATGCCAATCAGTTGTTTGGTGGTAACTAGTTTAGTTGTCTAGTTCCAACTCAATACCCCCGGTTTTATGAGTACTGTTTATATGATTTGTGACAGATTACTGCAAATGACCAATATGCCATCTGCACATAGCTGAAGCACTAGCTATTCGGGATCTGAAACCGGACCCCTGCATTCAAAGGCGATACATACATTCACTCGCCCTACCGTGGCCAGAGTAAAGTTCTTACTATAATCTTGCTTCTTCCTTTTATTACGTAAGTTCACTATTATTATTGTTATTACTACCATTATTTTATTATCATTATTATTTCCATCATCCATATTTTACCGCCATTCTATTACTGTTTATTAATAACATTGCTTTTTCTTACAGATTTTATATAGAAACACTTTATCGCCTTTCTACACGAGCTTACTGATTAATCATTATCTCACACTTATTACGTCATGCCATCTTCTGCCTCTTTTCTAACTTACAGTTAGTCATCCCTTCTTACACCTTACATTATGTAATACATTTTTTGAGGGCAAAGTTTACCAGTATCTGATTGGTCTAAAGATTTCTTTGTTAAATGTGATTATGATTGTACGGCTCATGAAAATGAATCATGGAAAAAAAATTTTCTTCGCTGTTTACGCCTTTTTCTTACTACCCAATACGGATCTGTCGTATTTTTATGTTTCATTAGGTCTCCAATTTTGAATAGGGGTGTTTGGAGTATATAAAATCCTCATATCTATATCCATATACCAGCGGAGACCAATAACTTCGGTAAAGTAAAACTAATAAGGCACAATCACTAAGTTTTAGCAAATGCTCACCTCTATCTGACAGGAATGAATTTCATATTATTTGTATAGTGGTAATGACAGTGTAGATGAAGTTGTAAAAACTGAATGATAACACATTCCATATTAGTTTGTTTATTAGATGTATCACACAGTGAAACAGTATTATTTACTGGATGACGTTTCGAACAAAATTTATTGTTCATAATCATATCAATTGTAATCACACGACTTTGACACTTGAGTTTTATAGTTTTCTTTGTTCTCTCCTATTTGTCGTATGGGTAGTAGAATTTTCCAGATATCGGGGACAGGTGTTGAATCATTCCTATTGCGTCTATTTGCAGTTGATTCGATAAACAAAGCTTCTGTTATCAATCCCTCCCTCCACCTTGTGACATTAGATTTTAAAACTGTCATCCTATCCCATCCTGTTGTATGGTTGTGTGTGACTGCATGTGATACATCTAATAAACAAACTAATATGGAATTACTTATTACCACAGTGCCCAAGTTTTACACATATATTGAATGATAACACCTTTATCATGACAGGGTATCCCACATAGTTTAGAGAAATAGGATGACCGAATTAATATCCTTTTACTTTTAGAACATGGAAGTGTTTGGGAAGGCTATTTATCATTCATGTAGTTGTTAAAATACGAAATAGCTAGTACTTTCTTGTCTATCATGCCTACGTCAACTTCATCATTAATGTGCCTTTTAGTAATTCCTTCCGATATCGTTATGATTACATTCAGGTGATAAATGATAACTTAACCAAAAATCACTCATTTCTTTTTACAAGTTATGCAATAAAACACATGTGATTTATTTCAAAAACACTTCATGCATTCATCGTTTTTCAAAACTGTATGACTTGGAGACTCGTTTTGCGCGAACATGTATACACGAAATAAGTAACCACTTAAAGTTATAGGGTAAACAGTTAGTAAATTAACAAAGTAAATACTGCATGAGATCATTGATTCATTGCTCTATATCTTACATGTCTTCTAACTTACCGGGAAGTTTGGTCACGGTGTGATTTAATACCGCGTATACAATTACTAGTGAGTTGTCAGTTTTGGAAACCTATAACAGATATTAACTGATGAAGTGAAAGAAATTAGCAAATGATAAATTTTTTTATTTGCCCTACTTATGACGTTTTATAATTGAAATATTACTTTTTGATGTATTATGTATTATGTCTTCGTTCAATACTCAAGATCAGATGGCCAGAAAAGATCAGCAACAAAGATTTCTGGGAGCGAACCAACCAGAAACCAATTGTGAAATAAATAGGCAGGAAGAAATGGAGATGGATTGGCCATACTATGAGGAAACCATCAAGTGACATCATTAGACAAGCCATTGCTCGAGTGGAACCCGAAAAGGAAGCGGCGAGTTGGTCGTCAGTGCGAGGGTGACTTGGATGAGGTCATGTGAAGAGGAGATGAAAACGTGTGGGCAGACTTGGAGCCAGCTGAAGACTCTAGCAGAGAACCAAATGCAATGGAGACTCACGGCTGAAGCCCTATGTTCCTCTAGGAATTAAAGGAAACAATAATATAATAAAAATAATGTGAAGCTACAAAACTTTGGCCCATATATAAAATCTATAAATTGTTGTTTGTTACAAGTTATGATTGATGTACAAGTGAATGTAATAGAAGGTTTTCTCAGGATATATTTGAAAATGAGAGTTGACGAAGAAGGGATTATTAGTGCTGTTAGTACGAATGCGAGTGATGACATAAAGTCCATCTGTTTTTAACTGTAAAAATTGTTGTTTTATATTTGAGTTTTTACCATGAAGACGACTGAAGAGAATATTCAAGTGATTGAATTAAAACTGAAGAAAGAGTAAGTTTGTTAAAAACAGTGATTCAGTAAGCACAACATGGCATTCATTATACAGGTTATCTGCAAATAGGAAGTCAAAACTCTGAGATTATCGTTTAGTAGGTGAAACAGAGTATCTATTAAAGTAAAACCGCGATTAACCATTCACACTTCCATCAGATCACTGTTAAAATTGTCCAGTTTAATCTGTAACTGTTTTGTACATCAGTTAAATAATCTGCAGACAAGTAGTTTTCAAAAAGCGCAGATATATACCACAGTAAGGAACTATAAAATAAAATAATTATAAAATATAATCAATTTAGAAAACAGACCTAAGCAAAGCGACAGATGTTTTAAAATGAAAAAGTTTAGTTGGCATATATGCGTACACACTAAACCAGTTTGGGAAACACTTTTATATTTTTCATTTGATTGCATGCAGTTTAGTAATTTCCTTTTTTGGGGTGGGGGATAAAAACGTAGGAATACCAAATCCTTATACATCAAGTGCACAGACCTCAGCTTTTGACGATTTGTGATGAAGACAGTTTCAACCATCAGTGTGGAACCAATTGGACAAGTGTTGGACTTATCGTCAACAGTAAGCATTCGTTCTTTTTCTTCCCAACTTCTCTTACCTCAAAACTGTTGATCACTTACACACCACATGTGTTTACTACAAATAATTAAAGAACTCAGAGAAGTCGATTATGAAGGCTTTTCCCAAAAATATGGTATCAGAAAGGTGTGTGATTGTCTAGTATTTTCAATTTATGGTATAGAGATAAAAACAAAGAAAATATATAGTCATTGATCTAGCTGAAAACAGGTGTTAAAACATGAAATTATTCTGATAACAACTGGAATATATTACAAGTCGATTGGGTTGCGGAAATTTGTTCAAGGTCAAATTTAGGATTAAATTTTATAAGTAGCGGAGAAATTCGTAGTACATGTATGTCATTTGTGTAACAACAAAAATAGCCTTGAAGTATTTTCAAGGTTATGGGGGAAGACTTTTATTTTACATTGGCAAGTACAATGTCCAGTTAACAGAATTATACTTCTGTTTAACCAGTGAAATGATTAATTTTGATCAAAACGATGTACTTTTCAGGTGTGCGATTATGAATGAAAATCATACAGTTCACTTTCTGCTTTCTGATCATTTTCACATTTTAACTAGCTGGAAGAAGTAGAGATTTTTACTTTCTTCTACAATGAAACTTTTCTACATAAATATAGAAAAATAATTCCTCTGAAGTAAGCCTTAGTTTTGTTTTTTATTTTTACCCGTAATGTTTATCATGCCAGTGTATTTTCTTTAGAATAAAATAAAAGTTCATGGTGTTTATTAAGCTAAAGTTGTTTATTTTTAAAGTCTGAATATTTTCGAATAGTTGAAATTGGACGATTTTACATATTCTGGTAAAGACAGATGTGTGGCTTTTATATTACGCGGCTAATATCAATAGCTGTCATCCAACTTGTTTTGCAATACTGTCTTCAAAAGTCGATATTATTCAATTGATTATATGAAGTTGAATAAAAAGTGGTAAAACTAAAAAGTGGTTTGCGAACTTAAATGGTACTGTCAGACTAAAAGACTCAAATTACAGATAGCTTGTTTGTTATTAAACTTAAAACTACGGCTTTTTGGTCATTTTTTGAATAGAGCAAATTTTTACACGTTTAAAAATTCGTCCACTCCATACAATTATATTTTTGCGAAAAGTTATATAATCCATTTGAGAAAGCTGGTTAACCAAAAATTTTCACATAGATTCTTAAGATTAAAACTAACCAGATTTAATAAATATTACATTTATTCACACTAAATTGTAGTTTTGGTTTTGCAGTTTTAAACTCAGTAAAGCTAAGACTGAAGGCCTGTCGGTTCTATTCCAGTGGGTGATGTCAGTAAGCCTGGTAATAAAACATGTACAACCAAATGGCACTAAATAATTTCTAAGGATAGATACTGTTGTGACATAAAAAGTAAGATGAAACAACCACCGTATTTTCTCTGATTTACAGTTTATATCGAAGTGATACGATTTCTTGAAAGATATGTTTGCCAATAGTTAAATATCGAAGACTGAACCATATAGATTCATTCTAGAGTCAGGTCTCCCTTTTTTTTGAAGAATGCCCTCAAAGAGAGAAAAAAATATAGAAATAATGGGAAAAAGGGCATTTTCCTACCACTGATAATATAAAAGTAATAGAAATCACTTCATTTGTGTGCATATTTGTACATCCACTTGGAATATGAAATTACGATTCTTCTTACGAGTTGATCACGGATTGATATCAGTTAGAGAACCATTGAAAACCAGGGAGTACTGGACAGCTGTTTCATCCTAGTTTGGGAATCATTGGCGGTACGCACTCGGAAGGTCCTGGGTTCGAATCCCAATGGGTGCGTACTGCCGATGATTCCCAAACTAGGATGAAACAGCAGCTGTTCAGTACTCCCTGGTTTTCAGTGGTTCTCTAACTGATATCAATCAGTGATCAATTCATAAATCCAAAACTAAACTTTAGAAATCAAACTATACAATTCTTCTACAAAAAAAGAGGTTTAACGAGGCTATTTTGCAATAAAATATTATTTCACTAGAAAGATATTGTTTATTTTATTCAATTTCATTCATGCAAATGTTGACTGGTTATAACAAAAACTCATAAAAATACTTATGAATTTGTTAATTGGGTGTTGGTTACACAGAAGCATGTAGGTCTTACTTCTTCTGGATCATAAATATGAAACAGTGCTACATTATTTATTTTACCTAGTGTTAAAATACATCGTTTGTATTGAAACATCCTTCCGGATCACGTGTATGCACTAAATTACCAAAACTTCATCTTCATTGAAGCTATCCATGAGGTTGAAAATTCACACGTATTTGTACTTTTCACAAGACCTAAAGTGAGGTGAAGAATGCTAAATTTTAAAGGTTTTTGTACTACATTTACTTATTTTAATGTTTATTACACCATCAAGTCACCTGGCAGAGATCAATACAACTCTCAATGGATAAGTGAAACAAAGTCCATAATATCGTCAGTAAAGCTAGGGATAAAACGCCTTGGATTTTTGAAATCTTTTAGTAATGCACATAAGTCGAATTTTCTGGTTATTATTATTTTTTATTATTTTTGATTACAGCTTGATTCCACACCGCTTGTTTTGGTACAGCATGTGATATCTGTAGCCCAAATTTTGCAGGCCGACCATAGATGTCAGGTGCGTGTCGACAGGGGATCAAACCCCGGACCATGTGCATGGTCGGCGAGAGTCCTAACCACTGTGTCACCGACGCACCGTCATTTATGGATAAAACATCTGTCTAAAGGATCCTTACGATTTCATTATAAATTAAAAAGATGCAGCTTAGCAAAGAATGTTCTTTGCGTACACTCGCTTCAAAGCTATTCGGTTATATAATGTTCTAGGAGGTTATGGAAATGCCCATAAAGGTCAGTCGTTATTATCAGCTGGTAACAGAAATATGAAATTAAAAATCAGGAAAAATAATGATAAGTTATGAAATTAAGTCAAAACTTAGGCCTCACGTAGTCCAAAGACATTAAATGGTCAGTATCTCTCAGAAATGATAACAAAACTAAAAGGAAAAACGCCTGGGAAGAGGGAACCCTCCAAGCTACTTGCTCCTATCTTGAATATTACTTCAAAGGATTTATCTATTGATTCAAAACGAAGTGTAAGAACAAAATGCTCGCGAACTGAGCTATTGGTTCGTTCCACTACTCCTTTCAATAACCAAATTGGGAAATGTTTTTGTAGACGTCTAGACAATATTCTAAGAGTACACAGTGTGTACTTAACTCCAAAGGAGCAAGTGAATTGATACGTTCACATGGATGCTGTCAACAACGGAACACTATCTTTGATATTTTCGAGAATAAGAAGTTGTCTGGAGGTGTGACACAGAGATGAGGCGAAAAATATTCTTCAGAATGCTCTTGAATATTCCTTGCAGACCTTTATCTTTTTAGCTTTTTTATAAGCATATTCTTTAATCACTTGTATAATCTGTTTTCACCTCAAATGTGTAAACAATCTAGATAATGAGTAGTCTCGGCAGAAGAATAGTTGAAGAAAGTATACTATTATCAACAGACTATACAGAATTAAAAAGTAAAGTCTTATTTCATTGTTGTCAATATGCTCATACAAATTTAAAAGTTAATTCAGCAACCTTTCCGGAGATTCAGCAGATAAGATCAAGATTCCAGTATTTAGTCAAAAAACGAATTAGAAGACTCTCCACATCACATAGAAACTACTTGGCACTTCTGGTCATGAAACGATCAGCATTTCCTATCAGCATCACCAGGGTGATCTTAGAAATAAAATAAAAGCTCTAAACATCTTAATAATGAGGTTTTAAAATATATGCGAATTGGAAATAACTAAATGTTATTAAGTTGTTTAATATTTTTGAAAAATTTATAGATAAATAACTAGAAGGCGAATGATTCAGTAGGAACTTTCAGCATCTTTTATACGTCTTTCTGGGAAGCATTTGTGTAACACTTGAACATTCGTAGGTTTTTTTTAGTCAACAAAATCCAATACACTTTAGAAGTGTGTAGTTTCTTTTATTATTGCATGTTTTCCTGAATCAAATTAATTCAGCTTACGGGTTTTACAACGGTCAAGAGAAGTTTCGCGTATGCAACCTCTCTAATTTAGTTTAGTCATTTATCCTAACAAATTAATGAAATGAAGGATAAGATCTCATTTTAATTCATCAAGAATGACATTAGATAATTTATTTACAGTTTGTTAATTGAAAAGACCTTTATCATAAGTATCACATCTACTTTCATTCACAGGCGGCTTTCAGTAAAACTAAGTTCTGTTATCAAAAAGTTGAAAATTTTGCTATATATTCCTGATTTACATACAAAATCTGATGGTTGAATTGAGAAAAATGCTATGGGTTATTTAAAATATGCCAGTCAAGTGGTTAATATAACGATTGATCTGGGTTATAGGATAATATAGTCATTTTGCTGTAGTTTTAGGCACTTTGAGTACTGTCTGCCAGTAGCTAAGTTGTATTGCAAGCCATAACTTTTCTTAAGACAGTATCTGTCGTAAAAAAATTAGACATGACTGTTATATGGTCTACTAGCATATTCTTTCAAGAAAGTTTTTCTTAAAGTGTACTCGTGAAATAAGTTATCTACCTTAATCTGTTAGCCATGGTAAGAAATGCTACATACATATTTCATTACGACTGTTGTTTGTTGAATCAGAAAGTTTTATTAGATTAAGGATTTTTTTATTATTTCAAAAAATGATTTTGTACTAAACTTTATTGGATAACTTCCTGTGGTTAACAAGAAAAATATAGTCAGTAATCTGTTAGGAGTGAAATATTTCGGCTAAATCACTGAATTAAATTCTTACGAATAACTGCTTGGTACACAAATTTAAAGGAACCAGCAAAAGCTCTCTAATCACCTTATAACTTCATACATTTATTCCCCTTAACAGATTTGAATAAAGAAAGAACAGTAGTGGTTTGTGCGAAATAAAGTGGTACCATCATTTATTTCGTCGGCTTCTCATCAACTGATTACAGTCCAAAGACATTATTAAGTTTATCTACAGAAACAATTTTAACATACTTGCACAGAGTTCATTTTCAAACAAAAATCAATCAATATATGCATACAATGCTAATAATAATAAAGATCACTTTATCCCAAACAATAATGGTTATGCGAAATGGAATCTCTCGACGTTGCGTAATCAGATGAATGACAGGGTAAAAAAATCTAGTTACCAGGGTAACAAAAGACTGATGACCACTTCTTTCTTAGCGCGTAAATTGGATTTCGGGAGCTTGGTGGAGATTGCTTCGGGGAGCTTGAGGAGTATTGACCTTTTTTGTCTATTGATAATTCTGAAGGATCTTGCGACGTCCACCTCAAGACCCGTGTCAAGGGGATGCCTAGCGATAGCACTGTTCAAAGTATTTGTTCCCCTTAAACGTAGACAAAAGAGTTCAGTTCTCCTCACGTTCCCCGAAGCAATGTCCACCAAGCTCCCGAAATCCAATTTACGCGCTAAGAAAGAAGTGGTCATCAGTCTTTTGTTACCCTGGTAACTAGATGTTTTTACCCTGTCATTCATCTGATTACGCAACGTCGAGAGATTCCATTTCGCATAACCATTATTGTTTGGGATAAAGTGATCTTTATTATTATTAGCATTGTAT